TGCCCCAAAGAGTCTCCTTTTATATCATTTTATTACTTTAATTTTTAAATTTTTTTCTTTTTTTAGTGTTTAAGTTATTATTAAGGAGTTACACAAAGGGTTTGCAATTCCATAAGCGAGGTAATGGTTACAATGTTTCTTGGACAATGTCACCCTCTCCTTCATCTTCCCCCATTTTTTTCTCCTCTCATCTCTGCCCACAAGTTGCATAGTTTATTTTTTACAGTGTGTGTGTTGCTTTTATTGCATTTCTGTTACTCTTCCTTCTTTAGATGGCCTACCAGGCCTCTTTTAGCCCTCACTTCCTAATGAATTTAGATTGAGTAACTAGTCATGTCCAATGTAATGCTGTTATTTTTCCAATTGTTCTATACAGGGCATTGCAGACAGGTTGGTCCTCTTAGACCTTTCTGAAGGAACTAAAGGTGGGACAATGGACCTTGACATCTTCAACCTGCCCCACGTGGAGATCAGCAAAGGTTTGTATGTTCTGCTTAACAATGTTGACCTTACCTGTTCTTACAGTTGAGTCCTAGGTTTTTAAATTTTACTTTTTTAATTCTTGGTGCTAAGGAGCAAGTCCTAGATTTTTAGTGCTAAAAACCACCTTTATGTCATGTGTGTTAAAAAAGTTGGGTGCCACAGTTTAATAAACTTTTGGTAAGAGGCAATTAGTTCGTTTTCCTTCTTTGAAAGCATATTGTAGTTGCTTTAATGATCTCTTTGTAGGCTTCACATAAAGGATTCATTGGGAAGCTGGATATTCTCTTGGGATTGTCATTTGTAAGTCCTAAAGTTCTCAAGGGACCATTTAACTCTTCCATATCACTTTAGAAAATTCTTTAGTAGAAGTTATGAGGCCATTTAGGACCAGAGCAAATTATTCTTCTTTTTCTTATGTTTGTATGTGTTACTAACCATTAATAACTTGAAATTATTGCATAACCGAAAGGTAGAACTCTTGAACTAAATGGCTAGTGTATGGTCCACAGTAACTATTGAATGTTGAATGAATGAATATACATGATCTTGAGGCAAATTTCATGTTTTCATTAGTCTGGGTTGTAAATTTCTGATGAGTACTCTTGTAATTCTAAGTGTATTGGTAGCTAATATCTCATAAAAATGTGCATTAACAATTTAAGGAATTAAGCTTATTTGGAAGCTTATGATGTGGTAAATGATTGCAACTGACTGAACATCCTAGAGTTGCATTTTGCTCTATTTAGAATTTTTTTCTTTTTTGTCGGTAGTGAGGCTTGAACTCGACCTGGGCGCTGTCCCTTAGCTCTTCAGCTCAAGTCCACAGCAAGCTCTCTACCACTTGGCCACAGCACCACTTCCAGTTTTCTGAGTGGTTTGTTGTAGAAAAGATTCTCACGGACTTTCCTGCTCGGGCTGGCTTTGAATTGCAATCCTCAGATCTCAGCCTTCCAAGTAGCTGGGATTATAGGCATGAGCCACTGGCACCCAGCTTATTTAAATTTAAAAAAAAAAATTTTATTGTGAAAATACTGTTACAGAGGGGTTACAATTACATGGGCAAGATAATGAGTACATTTTTTTTTTTTGGGTCCGGTCGTGGGGCCTGAACTCTGGGCCTGGGCGCTGTCCCTCAGTCCTTCAGCTCAAGGCTAGCGCTCTACCACTTGAGCCACAGTGCCACTTCTGGCTTTTTTTTCCTTTTTGCTTATGTGGTACTGAGGAATCGAACCCAGGGCCTCATGCATGCAAGGCAAGCACTTTACCACTGAGCCACCTTCCCAGCCCAAATAATTCTTTTTTTGTGTGTGTGGGGGATCAGTCGTGGGTCCTGAACTCTATCTAGGCCTGGGCGCTATCCCTCAGCTCTTCAGCTCAAAGCTAGCACTCTACCACTTGAGCCACAGTGCCACTTCCGGCTTTTTTCTTTTTGCTTATGTGGTGCTGAGGAATCGAACCCAGGGCCTCATGCATGCAGGGCAAGCGCTCTACTACTGAGCCACCTTCCCAGCCCATGAGTACATTTTTTATCAAGCATTGTAGCCTCTTCCTTTGTTTCCCCTTTCTATCCCTTCCCATCCTTCCCCCCTTATTTAAATTTTTTTAAATAGGGATTTACATATGATCATGCACATATACAGACAGATATAAAATATACAAACAGTTAAGCTGGTTATGCACTTACTGAATCTAGAACATTGCTAAGAAAATACATCTCTTCTTTCATTAAATAAAATACTGAAAGCTACTGGGAATTTTTCTACCCTACCAACATTCAATTTTTAATAGTTATCATCTTAACAATTTTCTAGATTAAGGGTCATTGTATAAGAAAACACACATTTCGGGGCTGGGAATGTGGCTCAATGGTAGAGCGTTTGCCTTGTATGCATGAGGCCCTGGGTTCGATTCCTCAGTACCACGTAAACAAAAAGAAAAATCTCAGAAGTGGCACTGTAGCTCAAGTGGTAGAGTGCTAGCCTTGAGCTGAAGAGTTGAGGGACAGCGCCTAGGACCAGAGTTCAGGCCCCACAACCGGACCCCCCCCCAAAAAAAAGAAAGAAAACACACATTTCAAATATTTTAGGTTATGTTAAAAAATTTAAAGGGGCTGGGAAGGTGGCTCAGTG